AGATCAAGGCAAAGCTTTTGGGAGGCTTGATTCATTGCACTTTGATATGTTGACAGGGTACCACCCTTGAAGATAACACTCTCAGTTTTAATCTTTTCTGGATCCAATTTGACATTGATCATGCTGTTATTCTCCACATTCTGTTCATTCTGAAATTTCAATTAATGGGGCCCTGTCACGATAATTACTCAAATATTCAAGAGTGCAAAAACACATTTATAGCAACGAAAACCTACAAGAAATGGTCTATTTTTAATAAAATAACAGTGCCAGTGCAATGAAGCTAAAAAAATAATTAATATCTTTATGTTAACAGCAGAATTAAATTCAAGCTCTAAACTTGAAAAGTTCAGGCGGGACTTTTCGAATTCAAGTTTTGCCATTTTCACATGAAAAAAAGTAGCTTAATATGAATAACACTTTCACATTCCATCAATATGTGACTTGACATGCTTAATTCAATACAGTAAACACCCGCATATAAGAACACATGATTTTGGAGGTCAGGCTGATCAGGTTCTTATTTATCGGGAGTTTAGTGAAAAATCAGCCTGAAGGTGTTCTTAAATTGTTCTTAAATTTTGTTGTTGAAATCGAGGTGTATTAAGAATAGCACAGTACTGTAAGTCTCCCTTCAAGTATAAACTACGTAGATTATTTTGAAGGGAAAAAAGCTAAAAGAAAATGCAAAGCAGCATCACAGCTGATGAGCTGTGGTTGTCTGGCAGCAGGCCTCTGTGTGATCAGAATTTTTTACTGTCTTATCCACTTTATAAGAACATTTTATATTTCCAGGCTGATTTTGTTCTTATAAAAATGGTGCTTTATTTGCAAAATTTCAGCCTGATGTTCTTAATTCATGTGTTCTTATATGCGGGTGTTTACTGTATGGAACATATCCAGAATTAAGTCGGGAATGGATCTGGATTCTCGACTGGCATTCTGTTACAAGGGCAGAATTAAAGAGGCCGGCTGTAAAAGTAGGTATTTGGCAAAGTCTATCATGATGTCCTAGTCGGTTTATGGTTCAAGGTCGCTGATGAGCCATTGAATCCCCAGGATGCTAGTCTTGTCGTGTTTGAGCATGCTCCTTCCAATGCCTTGGATGGCGTTTTTAAGCGGATCAAGTTTGCCAGTGGAAAAGAGTACAATGTCCGCTTACACGAACATTCAGAATGTTTTCAGCTCATTTTACTCTCAGGAAGACATTTATAGCATCGCACAACCACAATCATGCGCTATCCTGGATATTGTACTTGCAAAAGGGGGGACCAAAGGCCATTGCAGAAAGCTATTATAGCTGCACGAGAGCACAGAAACAGTCTGGAGGCCAATCAAATGAGACACTTTCCAGAAGAA